GACTGCATTTGTCTTTTGCCGAAGCTCAGACTCTGGCACAGGATCGGGAACGATGGAAGCACTGTCTGGCGCGTCTGTCTCCGCGACCGAAAGGAGAAACGGCGATGGAAGATGAAGATGAAGATACATTGTTCAGTTTTTAGTATGATCAACAACGCACGAACAAAATACTTAATCTTCAGACAGACTAACGTAGAATTTTGTATGTTATGCTTAGCAGAAACATGTGCGGCGACTTTCTGAATTAACTTAATTCTCAGTCCATTTCGATTGGTAATGGAAACGTCGGCTGTGACGCCTATCACAATAACAATCTATCACTATAATTTAACGTACGCTCGAATGCTTAAGACAAAATTTATAGCGATTTTCGGGACAGCAAATGCTTCCCCAGTGTAGATGAGCGTTAAGAATATGAATGTCCTCAAGACAGAGGACTTCGTTTCTGTCCTGTTCTTTCCATCCTTAATGGTAGACGCATAATGCGCTTAAAAAATTAGCTGACTTGTCAGAAGCCTATTTTTTGAATCTGTGTACCCCGGTGCAGGAAAAGGACAATAAATGAGGATCCGGTATGCTTCAAAGTTTAACAGCATTTGACTATCGTGTGCTACGGCCAAAATTCATTCACTGAGATAACTTACGCCCAAAAATCTTCCACCGTTTCGAAACATGCTACTTCTTTCAAGCATTCTTCCCAGTCTCGCTTACGGAGACGGTCCTGCTTGAGGTACCACAGCACCCACCGGTATTGCAACGGATGCTTTACAGTGAGCTCGTGCGGCAATTCTTCAGATTCCTGTGAAGAATCCTGCGGATTCGCTTCCGCTTCCTAAAAAACTAGCATGAGATTAAGAACATAGTGAGAAATAAGAATTTACCGGTTCGTCAGGCCGCGGCATTTGTACTTCCGTTCCCATGATGAACAGTCGTACGTCGGCACACACAATTCAAGATACCCGGAATTCTTCAAGAAACAAATTTTATACAGATTTTAATAAAGCTGTAAATAGCTGCTTATCATCTCAGATTCACATAAAAGTCAGCGAAAGGATTATTTGTTAATAGACGGCAACATCTGGCTACTACTGAATGCAATCTGAATTAAAAGAGTTGGTTGACATATATTACGTTTTTCACCATTACGAATGTGCAACGGAAACATATTTCAATTCAATCAACGGTCTATTAACTGCAACCACTGTTACCAGAAATAGAGATCATGTTCAAATACACGCATAAAGAAACTATAGTTAATACCAAATGTTAAAATAATTTAAAATGTGCGCTTTCCGTTCTTGATGGTTTTACAGAATTCTGAAAAGAAACGGCAAGATAGAGCAGCGGTAAAGTTTAGTTCTAGCCGTTATGACTTGTACGCATTCCTAGTTATCCACAATGATGAACCCTTCATAAGCGTCGCATCACACAATAATGATTGCCCAAGTCGAATGGTCGCTCGGTGGACAACTCCAGCCATTCGGTGAATAAGATCTTCTCGGCGAATTCTGCATATACGGAGATATGCAATGCTGCGCGTTTCAAAATTGCGTATTCCTTCCTCCGTAGAACAGCAAAGGCTAGTACAGCGTAGGTAATGAATGGAATTAAACAACCAAAAACAAAGACAATGAACAAAGCAACACAATATTTTCGTAATGCGTTCGTAGTTACAGCCCGGAATTACTCTTTCGATTTCAGTTTACAGGTCAAGTGTTCACCTAGACAGATTGGCCTCTGAAGGCCAAATCAAGTGTGTAAACCCCAATATTACATAATGAATGTTAACATAATATGGATAGGCAATGAGCTTATATACTGAAGAAACAACGATATACATATGTCATATAATATCGTCAACCTAATGTAC